GTCTCGGGTGCTGGCTGTCACTGACATAGCTCAGCAGCTGCTGTGAAGGAAAACGTTCCCACTCACAGCCGCTGCGGAGCTGTGTCAGTGACAGCCAGCAGATGCGGCAGAATAGGCCGGTTACACCGGTGTTCTATCGATAGTCCAAACTTATCGAGTTGTGGGACCGCATGACTTCCGGTCCCAGCACTCGATACGTTCGAACTTTCACCGGCATTTGCCGTAAAGAAGGAGGCGGGGCCCGCCTAACAGCAACCCCGCCTCCTCTCACATCACTGGCCAGCGATCTAGGAGCAGGTGGGGCCAGTGATGTAAGAGGAGGCGGGGCCCGTCGATAGAAGGAGGTGGAGCCCGGGAACGGAAGAGGAGGCAGGGGCCCGGCGGCGACCACAGAGGTGACAGGTAAGAAGCGTAAAGCGCAACTGAGACCTTGCAGAGCCCACCATAGAGAGTCTATGGTGGGCTCTGCAAGTGGCATAACTAGCAATCACGGGGCCCCATACAAAATTTTGCTATGGGGCCCTGTGATTTCTAGTTACGCCCCTGCCACTAGGGTAGCCAAATTTGCTCCCCAGACCTCTTCCAAATGTTTTTGAGGTCGGGAAGAGGGGCTCTATGCTTCGTGGTTGTGCCTAAAGGTTTGTAGATTTTGGATCAGGATATACTCGCTAATTCACACGTTGGCTTTTATCAACCTCAAAAAAATCCCCGAAAGATGCACTTCTCCATAGTAGCTTTCCTTAAAGAGGAACTTTACCCATATCATCAAAGTAACAACAAACAGACTTTTAGAAATGTTTATTAATGACAATTTACAAACAGATACTTGTAAATATTTGCCGGCCTTTTATTCTTTGCATACTTTATTTTTCTTTTCTTCTCCAGTCTTCAGACAGTGGACATTTTTACTAAGAGCAGATTAATATATCTCCCTTTACTCCCTGGAACTCTTGCACACGTGACTAGGATATGTGACCATGCACATCATCTCAGGGAAGGAAAGTGCCTTTCCCTGAGATTTTATGAGATTAGAGATGAGATTTCCCAGCAATGCCCCACTGATGTAACCTTTACAGGATACAATTCTTGGACACATTACATAATTTGTGCCAAAGAGGACCAGGAAGTAGATGAACTGTAATTGTAAATAAAAAATCTCTGTACAGGGTGAGATCTGAGAGAGTAATCATCACAGTCATTCCTTGCACTGTGGAAGCCAGGGGAAAGGTGATTATATTATCTATTTTTTCCCCTACTGGTGTTTCAGCAAGAATAATTTAAAAATGAGACCTTGCATAGAGTGTCACTCAAGGTTGTCTACCCCTGATCTAGAAGCATTTTGTGTTAATGAAGGAAGTTTAGAATGTCGCCAGTCTTTCTATGGGGACAGCCAGAGTTTTCTGTCACCTGTATTGTACAGAAAAGCTTGCAGTCTGTCCAAAGGCCTGCAAAGACAACTAAAATGTAAAACATAATGTTTAAAAAAAATATTTTTCAGTATGGTGTGTGAATAGGAATACATAAACACACAGAGGGGTTTTCTCAAATTTGACTGTGAAAGTGGAAATATACCGTATTTTTCGCTCCATAAGACGCACTTTTTTCACCCCAAAAAGAGGGGGAAAATGTGCCTGCGTCTTATGGAGCAAATCCTGACGCCCGAGAAATGCAGTTTCGGCCGCCGGGTGAGTAGTTTTTTTGTACATTTAGCTCTGCTAAAGCAGAGCTAAATGTACAGTAGGAGCCACTGCTTGTTTAATACGAGTAATCTAATGAGACCACTCGTATTAAAACCGAGCAGCGGCGATCGAGATCACCATAGTCCGTTCTTCGTCTGCACTGTGTGATCACTGAGACCGTGGCGCTGTAATCACAGCGCCACCTGTCTCAGCGGTCACTAACTGCAGCTTCTGTCACAGAAGCTACGGTCTGTCAAGTGCTCCAAAAGGCGCACCAGACCTCCCTGCGTCCTATGGTCCGGTGCATCTTATGGAACGCAAAATACAGTACTTTAAACCCTTGATTGAGTGCTGCCTGACCTGCAACTTATCGTTGTAATTACATTCACAGCCCTGATGAAGGGGAAGTGTTGAGCCCACCGAAATGCATTGGCTGTTGTCTACAATAAAGATTTACTGGACCTCTGGCTACACCTCTGGCATTGTCATCCTCCCCATTATCTTTAGATTACTCCTGGGAGGACACCCCAGATGACAGAAGGCTGCCTTTATCATTGGCATTAAAGTCTTATACCTGTTATACCTTATACCTGTTAATTCTGTTTTAAATCCAGTGGTCTATTAACATATCTATCATTTAATGTATAATGCATCATGAAAAAAATGACTAACATATCTATCATTTAATTTATAATACATCAGGATAGAAAGCTTAACATTATAAGGTGCTGAAGCAGAACTGACCTGCACAACAAATGAGCATGCTCTGGGACTAAAGTGCTTAATAGAATATATTTATATGCTACATTTTATTACATAGTTGCTTCTAGTAAACAGAGACTGATGCCAATGAAAATAAAAACTATATTGAAACTATTTGGTTTTGTTAAAAGGAACTTAGAATATGTCAATGTTCATTTTCATAACTCTCTCCAGGGCTATGTCTCTTTAGTTTGTATGGAACTTCAGCCAACACTATTGTTTAAATTTGAATATTTGAAGGGTTGGAATCTCTGCCATGATTTTATTGCTGACTTTTTTTTTTGCTCCCTTTGGGGGAAAGTTCCCTCACTTTCTTTGTGGTCATCAAGGCAAAAAGTGTATAAAAATAAAACGAAGAGACAGCAAATAAACTCTTTTCCCATCTCATTCAAGACTCACAGTTTTGTCTGGAGTTCCACATTGCCTGTCACAGTCGTTCTCTAGCTCTCACTCAAGTTGCTTTGTGGTTCTGTTTTGAAACTTCCTTTGCATACTGTTTGCATACTGTTTCTTCCTTTTCCTTAGCTGAGGAAATCTTGAGACAATATACAAGCAGCAATAAACTGTTTTTTTTTAAATAAAAGGGGTTAATTTTCTGCCAGACTACCTATTATGAGAAGCAAACACAAGCAAGTTTTAATCATGTGGAAACCAGAAAAGGTGAAATGAAATGATAACATACTATGGTGTGCTGATAGGCACTGATGGCTTTCACACGAGAAACGGCCGGCCCATACAGATCCGTGCTGCGTATCAGGCCGCTCCTGGGAAGGACAGGTGCTGCGTGTGATTACACGCAGCAGCTTGTCCTTCTCTATGGGAGTACGCGGCCATACGCCGCCCTATGCTCACTGTCTGCATCCGAGCAGGGACAACCGCACCCATATGGACAGGCAGTTTGGGTGAGCGTATGGCGGCGTACGGCCGCTTATTCCCATAGAGAAGGACACGCTGCTGCGTACAATCACACGCAGCACCTGTTCTTCCCAGTAGCAGCCCGATACGGCCGCGCACGCAGCACGGATCTGTATGGGCCGGCCATTTCTTGTGTGAATGAGGGCTAAGGGTTGTCACCTGAACCCTGCCCGTCTGCCCACCCTCTTAGGTCTAGGCCTCCCTAATATTTAAGTAAACTCACACTGATAAGATATGGGGCTGCTATGTTGATTGAGTGGCTTCAGTACTTTCCATTTAAGTGACCTGGAACAGAAATAGTGATTAGAAGCTCTACATTTAGATGGACAATGTTGATCTGCATGCTTGTTCTGGGTCAGTGTCTCAAAAACCACACAACTAGCATTTTTGAGGAAGGAAAAACAATAAAATCCATGTATTTCAGGGTATCATTTAAAGGAAAACTATGAGGTGAGTGATTTTCACTCATCCTCATATTTCTAGCCGACCTGTGACAATTAAAGTGTAACAGGTCGGCTCAGTAGATCGGGAAGTGAGCGAACACATACCGGCGTTCGCTCAATTCTCGATCCTGTCACGGGGCGGGACTGGATTCCCCCCTCCCTGCTCCGATCCTCCAGCGCTGACTGGTGGAACGGACGGGGGAGGGTACAGCTGGCTCTGCCTCTAGATAGGCAGAGCCAGCTGTCTCTCACGCAGCTGGGCGGATCCCGGCATAATTGTTGGGATCCGTTTCAACTGCGGTGTCTCAGTATACCGCGAGCTGTAGCTTGCTGTATACTGAGCTTAGGGTGACGGGAGGACGCTAGTTTGTGTCCTCCCGTTACCCTTAGGAGAACTATGGGGAAAAGCCCTAACCCCATAGTTCTCCTTTAAGGCAGATTTATTCCTAATATAACTGATGCAGCCCATTATTTCACTTTCTCTGTAAAAATCCAAATAATGCATTTTAAAAGGTCTGTGGCATGTCAGAATAAAAAGCCTCATGAGTAAATATGAGTTCTCAGACAGGAACAATCTTTAGAATACTCCACTAAAAGAGAACATTTCACTTTGCCCATTCAGCAGTTATGCAAAGTGACAGTGTTTGTAAAAAGGCCTTGACCCACTGATACTTACCTCTCCAGCAATTCCATGCCTTAACTGGAGCAAAGTACCCTGTGCTTCTGGGTATGGGGGAGCATGTGACCGCTTCCCATTTGACAGTACTCAGGTCTCACAGCCAATCACTAAGCCAGAACACTGATGTCACCACTTCCTCTAGGCTGCATCACTAGCCAACACAGGGTATTTTGTTGCCAGGTGTAATGGAGGAAGGAGCAGCAGGGGAGTACTGGAATCGTGAATATCATTGGGTCAGGAGAGGCCTATTTAAGGTTACATATGGAGAAATTTGATTTGATGTTTCTTTGTTTGGCTGCTGCCTCTCTTTACTGCATAGCTTAGTATTTCAGGACCAGAGAAAGCTCAGTTTGTATAAGACCATGCTGCACGTGGGGGTAGACCACTGGGAAATCCTTTGAGTGTCACTGCTCTTTAACAAATTAGACGGATATTACCTGCAGCCTACGTACATGATCTGCACTTAGTTATGATTTGCTATTGTTATTATAAGACAAAGTAGATCATATTTTTCCCCAGGGATCAGTACTTAAAACACCAATATTAGTTATTAGCTTTCATAGAGATGCTTAGTAAGAGATTCTGTCTGGCTCATAAAGCTTCTGTAACAGGATGGTGAGCAGGCGTGAAACATAAATGGAAGCTTGCGGATCCCAAAGATCTTTTCGCAAGGTCGGATAAAGCGCAGGCCTTCCCCTGACAGGGCTTCTCTGCAGCAGTCGCATACTTTAACCCTAAGTAAAAAAGAAAAGAAAGATAATATAACTTAGTAATACTTCAGATTAATTGTTATTGGCTCCGTCAGAGGGAAAAGGGCCACCTCGCACTACAAGGGCTAAGCACTTGTTTTCGTCTAGGGATGAAAATAACAAATTTATATTCACCTGTACCTCGCAGCCGGCTGGCTGTTAGACCGGTCCCTGGGGCTTCTCTACCCCTCTACTTCGGCAATCTAAGGTCCTGTGTCTTCACGTCCTATCTGGTAAATACAACATAAGGACGCCAAGGGACATTCAATCACTGGAACGGAGGCTGGAGGGACCAGTTTAACAGCCAGCTGGCTGCGAGGCTCAGGTGACTATAAATTTTTTATTTTTGTCCCTAGATGCCAACGAGCACTTAACCCTTGCAGTGCAGGGGGTAGCCCAGTACCATTCCCCACTGTAATCAAACGTTTTGGTGTTCCACTTCAAAACCTCCCTCCCTTTCCTCTCTCTCTCTCTCGTCAGACTGGGGCAATTCATCCCCCTCTATTAGTCATGGTAACCAGTGTCACTGCGCAGAAAATAATGGGAAACCCTAAAATCTTATGAGGCGAGAAGATGAGAAGAAATCACCAAATTGGGACAAATATTCTGGTGACAAATATGATGTAGATTCTCCTTGCTTTGGGGAGATTTCTTCTCACTTCCTATAGATTATCCATGACAGGAAGTGAAGGGAAATCTGCCCAAGAAGACACAGAAAAAAGTGTTGGCTCTACATACACTTTAAAAATCTTATTGTTTTATTGTTCATGTAGTCAGCGCTTGGCAGAGGTCTCACAGCTCACAGGGGGAGCACCAGAGCAGACTTGAATATAATTACACGGAAGGAGCAGCTGTTCAATCACAGGATGGGAAGCCTCAGAAGACATGCAAAAAGAAAACAAAAAACAGAGCCTTCTCTCTTTGTGTAGTAACGTTTATTTATCCGTATATAAAGTGAAAAAGAATAATACTCACAAAATCTGTCTAAACCCTCAGCATTTAAAACATGTGTCCAACATGGAAAAGTACCAATCTGCACCAACGTACATTCTTGGACTTCAGAGCAAATACAGGTGAAACTCAAATAATTAGAATATCGTGCAAAGTTCATTTATTTCACTAATGCAACTTAAAAGGTGAAACTAATATATGAGATGGACTCATTACATGCACAGCAAGATAATTCAAGCCGCGATTTGTCATAATTGTGGTGATTATGGCTTACAGCTCATGAAGACCCCAAGAACCCCAAATCCACAACCTCAAAAAAGTAGATTATTACATGCAATCAATAAAACAAGGATTGTACATAGAACAATATCGGACCTCTGAAAAGTACAAGCATGCATATGTACTCAGTACTTGGTTTGGGCCCCTTTTGCAGAACTTACTGCAATTACTTTTGCACGATATTCTAATTATTCGAGTTTCACCTGTATACAGTAGAAGCAATTGACTTAGATATGCGTGTTTCAAGGGTTAAACCCTCTTCTTCAGAGCATCCTGCATATCGTCCAGATACAGATCTGTCACAGAATGTACGTTGGAGGCGATTAGTACTTTCCCATGTTGGACGCATGTTTTAAACGCTGTGGCTTTAGACGGATTTTGTGAGTATTATTTTTTTAACTTTTTATACGGATATATAAACGTTACTCCATGAAGAAAAGGCGCTGTTATTTGTTCACGTTAAACGTCCGACTGAAGTTTGACCCCTACTGTGATTCATTAAAAAAAAATGTTTTTGCTTTGTGTATATATATATATATATATTTGAAGTGAACAGAATGAAACCAAAATGAAAAAAAAAGTTAGGCCGAAACCGAAAATGTTTTTTATTCTAACTTTTTCAAATATTTTTAATATTTTGTTTTTAAAACTTGTTATATTTTTATCAAATATTTTTATTATTTACTTTACTTTTAGGGGCTTTGGGGAAATATTGGGGGTCTAAACAGACCCCTGAAATTTCCCTTTTAAAATAGAAAAAGAGATTGAGGACGCAGAGTCCTAAATCTCTTTTTCTGCAGCCCCTGTTGTAAATGAACAGTAATCCTCTATACTGAGTATCTGTAAAAAATAAGTCAAGGCAACTGGACTTGCTGTATTTTTCTTGAAGACGTTTCACTGGTCATCCAACCCGCTTTCTCAATTCAGAATGACTTGTACAAAAATTATCTGGGAATAAATATGGTGAATGTTGCTCCAATCCACATAATCAGGTTGTGTGGATTGGAGCAACATTCACCGTCTGATTATGTGGATTGAAGCAACATTCATCATATTTACTCCCAGAGAATTTGCATACAAGTCATTCTGAATTGAGAAAGCTGGTTGGATGACCAGTGAAACGTCTTCAAGAATAATACAGCAAATCCAGTTGCCTTGACTCATTTTTTACAGATATACCATGACCTGGATGAATGAGAACCTTCACAGACATCTATGCTGAGTGTTCCTGTTCATTCATAACTTGAGGACAGAGTATGTTTACTAAATCCACGATCAAGAATGAACAGGAGGTGATGTAGCTCATTCCCCATTCATTCATAATTGAGGATATCGCTGAGTGTTTGTACTCGCTCTCCATCCTGACACGCTGTCACAGGAGGCTGAGCGAGCGGAGCTCAGCCTCCTGTGTCAGCGCTGGCTGTCACTGAGGAAGATTACAATGCTGCAGGGAGGAGGAGACAGGCTGGAAGAAGCGCTGTGACAGCTGGCCAGTTTAGAGCTTCTGGTGAGTATATCTTTGTTATTTTAGCACCTAGACACAAACGAGCATTTAACCCTTGCAGTGCAGAGGTAGCTCCACTGCAAGGGTTAATAAAAAAAATCCTCAAGTTCCTCTTTAACTACTTAGCACCTGTGAGATCATGGGTCAGCCAACTCATGATCACATAAACAAAAATAATTACAAGCTATAGAAAGGTAACTGGCTTTTCTAATATTGATACAATGATTTACTAAATCTAAATCTCTTTTACGAGTATCTAAACACGATGAAAGTCTAGACATTCCCTTTAAAGCTGTGCGATAGGAAAATGAAGATGTGCAATGCAGGAAATCTAAAGCAACCAATTAGATTACAGCAATGAGGACAGGCATCACTGAATTCAGACTAATAGCTGTGGGCTACATCTTTTAATAAACCCGATAGAAAAGCAATAGCTGTTGTGTATGAGTGTAGAAGATTGTTGGCCAAGTGTTATGCAATACATTTCTCAGAAGCAGTAAAATTTTGAGAACTGCCCAATAATGTATTCACACAGTTTATTGCACCCAAGTCTATCAGTAAAAGGTGGATGCAACATAACTACATTGTGGCACTGCATATCAGTGATGAAAAATCTACCAAGGCAAAAATTATATTTACCTGTGCAGCGTAGTTTTAAAGGGCCTGTTGATAAAAACTGTAACCTGCATTCATTCTGGTTTAACATATTCAAGTAACAGCCTACACATCGCTTACTTGAGGAGTATTTCTTTGGCTTCAATGGGAATGTCGGCAAAGTAGCGAAACATGTTGTTTTTGGCAAAAGCCATTGCAGCCAAGTCAAGTAGGCGTTGTGGTTGAATGTGCGTGTTCTCTCTCCAGAACAGGGGGTGCATTCGATTGTTGCCCACACGTAGCTGTTTAAGCTTTAGTTTCAGTGCTCCACAAGGTAATGCTGGCAAGCTATTTCCTTCTACATTCAGGAACTCCAGGGCTCTAAACAGATAATTTACAACATGAAACCTGGAGAGGTATTCAAAGCCTTCAGATACTTTTTTGATGGAACAATGTACATCAACTGCATGAAGCAATCCTGAAAATTGGGGATTAATAGTTTTATTTTTCAAAATATTTCCAGGATCACCAAACACTCACATTTAACAATGATCTAAAGAAAAAGCATGATATTGTTTCAAAATGAAGATATGTTGAAATCAATAAATATAACCAGTTAGGATGTTTACTTCCTTACCTTGCAGTAAGGCAGATTACATACAGTCGAGGTCTGACAAGCTGTGGCGACCTACCCTCTCCCTCCATTTCAACATTTTCCTCAGCTCTTCTACCCTATCCTTACCATTCACACCCTCCCTTCACCATTTCCACACTCTTAGCACTCTGACCTTCTCCTCACCTATTCCACCCTCACCTTAGTATTTACACCTTCTCCTCACCATTTCTACCATATGCTTAGCATTCCTACCCTCTCCTCACCATTTCCACCCTTTGCTTGGCATCCCTACACTCTCCTCACCAGTTCCACCTGCTACTTAGCAACCCTACACACTACTCACCAGTTCCACCTGCTAATTAGCAACCCTACACAATCCTCACCGGTTCCACACTCTCGTTAGCATTCACACCTTCCCCTCACCATTTCCACTGTCTCCTTAGCATTCCTACACTCTGCTCATCATTCCACCATCTGCTTAGAATTCCTACCCTCTCCTTACCATTTCCACACTGTCCTTAGCATTCACACCCTACCCTCATCATTTCCATCCTCTCCTTAGCATCCATATACAGTATTCTCCTCAGCATCCATACATTCTCCTCACCATTTTCACCCTCTCCATAGCATTTCTACCCTCTCCTTAGCATCTCCACCCTCATCTCACCATTTTCCCCCTCTCCATAGCATTCACACCCTCCCCTCACCATTTCCACCCTCTCCTTAGCATCCCTACACTCTCCTCACCATTTCAACCCTCTGCTTAGCATTCCTACCCTTTCCTCACCACATTCACCCTCTCCATAGCATTCTTACCCTCTCTTCACTATTTCTGCTCTGTCTTTAGCATATCTGCTCACTCATCAGAATTTCCACCCTCTCCTCACCATTCTCTTCTCCTTAATGTGTGTAAGCTCTCTACGCCATTCCAACTGAGAACATCCATTTCCATCTTAAGAAAAATGTTTTGGTTGGTTCTAGTCCCAGAAATTTGAGCACACAAAGTGATTGCTATACACTTATCACATCTGGCAGTTTAATTTTGCACATCCAGGACACAACAGGAAATGACAGGATGTTTCTCTAAAGTGAGACATGTCGTCTCTTGGACAGTTGTCACTGGAACAAATGTCCCCATTAGCAGCTTCTTCCTCTATTACTGTTCTGGTGGTAACTCAAACTTTTTGTTAGTCCCTCACTTTCATTCCAGGTAATGGTGGTCATCAGAACAAATAGGGTATCATCATAGTGGGGGCAAAGACAGCAACAAAAATCTAACAGGGCTACTAACTCCTCCCCACTCTATCGAAAACTAAAATAAAAATGTTGGCTTTGGATACTTTAATGATCCAATGATTCATAAGGTATATTGTTTGCATGTGCAACATGGCTGCACATTCAAACGTTATTAGCATGCGATATAGTCACATACACTATGAACATCTAAGGTTGATTCAACAGTTAGTTTCACATGTTACGTGGGCATGAATTTGAGACAGATCAGTTTCCCATGCTGAAAGCAAGTAACATTTAGTTGCTGAGAAGTAAGGTGGAGCCTTCTCTGGAAGTATGGGAAGAGTTTCAGTGGCCAGGAGGTTGAACGCTTGGTAAGCTTTCCCTGTTTTCAACACAAGTTCAATATTGGCATTAAAAAATGTTTGTGTTCTCCTAAATATTCTCAAATATTTTTTGGGATGTGTGACATTTGATGTAGTCCAAGCTAAACAAGGTGGGCTATGCAGCATGTTCTCTGTACCAAAGGTATCTGCAATAATCTTCGGCTAAGATCAAGTGTAGTATCTGCAGGTGGGGAAAGGAGCCGCTGTACTGGCCTTATGGCTGGAATCTGAGTACCCTGTCTGGTGATGGGGATCCTAAAAGGTCCTGGCTAAACTGAATTGAGCATCCACTCATGTAAAAGTGGGGGTCAGGAGTACGTATCGGGTGCTAGGATCTGGCAGGGCCCAGTTCCTCCTGATTTGGACGGGTCTACCTTGTCTGGCAATGGGCTGGGAAGGCACGAAGCCTGTGGTGTTTAAGCCCCCTGGAGTGGTGATCCAGGGGTGCCCCAGTAGCACTATGGGTTTGGGACCCCACTGTGTGAATGGCACTTTGGCCACGACACCTTTTGATGCACATCGCCTCTTGGGCTAGGCCTTTTGGCTAAGACCAGGGGTAATTTTTATTACCAGGCCGCAGGGCCTAGCCATTGTAGTGCACCCTGGCACTTATTTATTTTTCTCACTTTGTATGTACACTTCAGTTTTTTCTATGTTTTTTCACTCTACAGGATGGAGGGTGTTGGTCTTCAGGCCTACCCTGAAGTCTAGGGGGAGGATGTGTGGCCCTTAGGTTCCTTCCTCCCCTGAATCAGGGGTTTCCCTTCGGGGGAGCCCTCAACCGAGTACTCGGTGGTCGGCTTCGGCTGACCATGAGGAATGGGTCCGCTTGGTTTCAGCCAGGTGGACACGAGTGCATTGTCCTTGTCAGGAGCCTTGCGCCTTGGGGGGTCAGGGATGGGCCCTGTCTCTTCCGGAGATGGACCCTTTAGATAGCACACCTTCTGTGCAGCTTGTGTGTGTTTCACATGCACTTTTTTGTTCCCTTTTTGGGTGTTTCTATGCACGCTCCACGGGCTTCAAAAAGGAAAATCGACAATAATCTTCTACATTTAGCTAAACCACATCCAGGAAGTCCCACCCAATTCCAGACAAATGCTGGACTGAGGCCTGAAACATCAGCTCAGTCTTGGGGCTCTGTCACACCTCACCTCCATTCTGCAAGCCATTAGATACTATTATTCATTGCTGAGTTGACACTTCCATTCAGCAGGTATCCATGATTAGGAATATATAGATAACAATAAAGGTAACCAGCATGTACCTCGTTTCTGCTTTTAATCCATAATGGTAGAAATAAAATCTAACTGGATGCTATAGATTCACTTTTAAAAAAAACAGTCTATTACTCATCTACGTCACTACAGGTCAAGCAAGCTAATCATATCCTCTCACAGTGGGAGTTGTTGTGCTAAAAACCTAGCATGTCCTTTTTGCAATAGCTGACAGGACTTAAGTTGCCAAAATCATGTCTAGACCTCTGCACAAGCATACATTTTCACCAAAAACAGGAAAGAGAAGGCTGTAGCAGCCACAATGATTTCTCCTTTAGTATGCTACTTTACTAAGCCATTTGTTAATATTTATACAGGTATCTAGAATAGACACTTCTATCCTCCTTCAGTTTCATTTGTATTTATATCCTGACATTCAATCTCCTTAGCAGTGATGTAGATGTGAGGTAAGCATCCTTCCTGCTTGCCTTTTACCTTGTTATTACACAGTACAGCAAGTGACACTGTGACACTCGGTTCCTTCTCCAGCACCATACACAGCTATTTCCTGTGATACAATGTGCAACATGGCATTTAAATGTCTGGGTCAGCGCAATTTCCTCTAAATTGATCTCTACTTTAAATGATCATTAACAGTTAAACCCATAACCTAATGCAGTAAAAGAAGTATACTTTCATGGTGGCTTTTATCAATGTTACTAATAAATGTATCAGTCAACACAGAAAACAAAACACTTTTAAGAAATAAGACACTAAAAACCTGTTTAAATCTAGACAACGTTCCATCTAGATCAGTGTTCCCCAACCCCCGGTCCGTGGACCGGTACCGGTCCGCGGATCAAATGGTACCGGGCCGCACAGTCTCAGTGCGGTCCGGTCCTGCAATATGGGGCAGTGCAGGGTCCCGGTGTTCGAACACCGGGGCCCCGCATTGCCGACGGCTTCACAGTGAGGGGGCGGGTCCTGTGACTCACCTCCCCTCCCGGCCGTGTCCATAGTAACAGGAGGCGGGAGGGGAGGTGAGTCACAGGAGGCGTGTGTGTGTCACACGTCCCGCCCCGCCCCCTGCAGTGCACACATCAAAACTCCCTGGCTGGGTAAGTCCGAGCGCCGGCGTGGGGGGGGGCTTGGAAGGGGGCGAATAGTAGTTTTTTTATTAATTAAGTGTCTCGTTTAGGAACCTATAAGTGATGTATCTCTGTAATAAAAAGATATGTAATCTCCATGATTTGTTTGTGAAAAAATTCCAATAAAAAAGTTTTATAAAAGTACA